GTAAATATATTTTTAGCTCAAGTTGAACCATTAGAAATTATTTGATGATCATTAATTTGCTGTTTCCCTGGTAGCTGAGATGTGAGTTTTCAATGTTCATTGTAGCTTGCCATCGTCAGGGCTTAATATTCAAGAGAAAAAAACAGTGTATTCTACTCCTTTCATCAATCTTGTATTTCTGCGCTTCTGGCCGCCAGCCACTACTGACTTAAAATTCACTCACTCGTCACCTATTATTCACACCCCTACCACCATTTCATTCACGACATTATTTAACCACCAGCCTACCAGTTACACACCTTGAACCACCAGGATACCAGTTACACACCTTAAACCACCAGCCTACCAGTTACACACCTTGAACCACCAGGATACCAGTTGCACACCTTAAACCACCAGCCTACCAGTTACACACCTTAAACCACCAGGATACCAGTTACACACCTTAAACCACCAGGATACCAGTTACACACCTTAAACCACCAGCCTACCAGTTACACACCTTAAACCACCAGGATACCAGTTACACACCTTAAACCACCAGGATACCAGTTACACACCTTAAACCACCAGGATACCAGTTACACACCTTAAACCACCAGGATACCAGTTACACACCTTAAACCACCAGGATACCAGTTACACACCTTAAACCACCAGGATACCAGTTACACACCTTAAACCACCAGGATACCAGTTACACACCTTAAACCACCAGGATACCAGTTACACACCTTAAACCACCAGCGTACCAGTTACACACCTTAAACCACCAGCTTACCAGTTACACACCTTAAACCACCAGTCTGTAATTAACACCCCCACCACAGGCCTCCAACTCTCACTCTACCACCATTCTTCTACTAGCACCTCCACCCCCACCACCAGCCCCCTACTATCACCCCAACACCTCCAGCCCCCTACTAACACCCCACCACCAGCCCCCTAATAACACCCCCACCACCAGCCCCCTACTAACACCATCACCATCAGCCTCCTACTAACACCACCACAACCACCACCATCCACCTACTAACACCCTTACCACAATCCACCTACTAACAACCTCACCACCAACCTCTTACTAACACCACCACCACCACCATCCTTCTTCTAACACCTTTACCACCATCCTCTTACTAACACCTTCACCACCAGCCTCCTACTAACACCGTCACCACCAGCCTCCTACTAACACCCTCACCACCAGCCTCTTACTAACACCGTCACCACCAGCCTCCTACTAACACCACCACCCTCCTGCTAACTCTCCCACCACCAGCCTCCAACTATCACCCCACCACCAACCTCCTCCTAACACCCCCACCACCGGCCTATTACTAACACCCCCAGCACCATCCTCCTACTAACACCCTCACAACCACCCTCCTACTAACACCTTCACCACCAGCCTCCTACTAACACCTTCACCCAACTTACTAAAACCTCACACACCTCTACTAACACCCTCACCACCACCCTCCTACTAACACCTCACCACCAGCCTCCTACTAACACCCTTTACACCACCAGCCTCCTACTAACACCCTCACCACACCACTCTACTCACCCTACACCATCTCCACTAACACCACCACCAGCTTCTACTAACACCCTCACCACCAGCTCTTACTATCCTCCTACACACCAGCTCTCTATACCCACCACCACAGCCCTTTTTACTAACACTCTCACCACCAGTCTCCTACTAACACCCTCCACCCAGCTCACTACACCCCATACGCCTTTTACTAATACCCTCCCACCACCAGCCTCCTACTAACACCTCACCACCAGCTCCTACTAACACCATCACCACCACCAGCTTTCTACTAACACCCTCACCACCAGCCTCTTACTAATACCCTCCCACCACCAGCCTCTACTAATCCCATCACCACCAGCCTCCTACTAATACCCTCACCACCACCAGCTCTTACTACTACCCCTCAACCACCAGCCTCTTACTAATACCCTCACCACCACCAGCCTCTTACTAATACCCTCACCACCACCAGCCTCTTACTAATACCCTCACCACCACCAGCCTCTTACTAATACCCTCAACACCACCAGCCTCTTACTAATACCCTCACCACCACCAGCCTTTCTAATACCTGATTAACTGATCCACTCGCCACCACCACTTGTTACAACGCTCCACACCTCTTGATTACAGACTGCCACCACCCTTGTACAATGCCTGCCCCACCACTGATTACAATGCCTGCCCCCACTGAATACAGTACCTCACACCACTCTTACAATGCTGCCACCCCCACTTGATTACAATGCTGCACACACTGATTACATGCCTGCCACCACCACTTGATTACAATGCCTGCCTCACCACTTGATTACAGTACCTGCCACCACCACCTGATTACAATACCTGTCACCACCACTTGATTACAGTACCTGCCACCACCACTTGATTACAATACTGCCACCCATGATTCGACTGCACCACCACTTGATTACAATGCCTGCCACCACCACTTGATTACAATGCCTGCCACCACCACTTGTTTACAATGCCTGCCACCACCACTTGATTACAATGCCTGCCACCACCACTTGATTACAAGTCCTGCCACCACCACCCTTTATTACAATCCTGCACTACCACTTGATTACAATACCTGCCACCACCACTTGATTACAATACCTGCCACCACCACTTGATTACAGTACCTGCCACCACCACTTGATTACAATGCCTGCCACCACCACTTGATTACAATGCCTGCCACCACCACTTGTTTACAATGCCTGCCACCACCACTTGATTACAATGCCTGCCACCACCACTTGATTACAATGCCTGCCACCACCACTTGATTACAATGCCTGCCACTACCACTTGATTACAATACCTGCCACCACCACTTGATTACAATACCTGCCACCACCACTTGATTACAGTACCTGCCACCACCACTTGATTACAATGCCTGCCACCACCACTTGATTACAATGCCTGCCACCACCACTTGATTACAATGCCTGCCACCACCACTTGATTACAATGCCTGCCACCACCACTTGATTACAATGCCTGCCACCACCACTTGGTTACATTGCCTGCCACCACCACTTGGTTACAATGCCTGCCACCACCACTTGGTTACAATGCCTACCACCACCACTTGATTACATGTCCTGCCACCACCACTTGATTACAATGCCTGCCACCACCACTTGATTACAATGCCTGCCACCACCACTTGGTTACAATGCCTGCCACCACCACTTGATTACAGTACCTGCCACCACCACTTGATTACAATGCCTGCCACCACCACTTGATTACAGTGCCTGCCACCACCACTTGTTTACAATGCCTGCCACCACCACTTGATTACAATGCCTGCCACCACCACTTGATTACAATGCCTGCCACCACCACTTGATTACAATGCCTGCCACCACCACTTGATTACAATACCTGCCACCACCACTTGATTACAATACCTGCCACCACCACTTGATTACAGTACCTGCCACCACCACTTGATTACAATGCCTGCCACCACCACTTGATTACAATGCCTGCCACCACCACTTGTTACAATGCCTGCCACCACCACTTGTTACATGTGCCCATGCACCTCACCCCACTTGGTTACATTGCCTACCACCACCACTTGGTTACAATGCCTGCCACCACCACTTGGTTACAATGCCTACCACCACCACTTGATTACAATGCCTGCCACCACCACTTGATTACAATGCCTGCCACCACCACTTGATTACAATGCCTGCCACCACCACTTGGTTACAATGCCTGCCACCCCTGATTCAGTACTGCACCACACTTGATTACAATGCCTGCCACCACCACTTGATTACAGTGCCTGCCACCACCACTTGATTACAATGCCTGCCACCACCACTTGGTTACAGTGCCTACCACCACCACTTGGTTACAATGCCTGCCACCACCACTTGGTTACAATGCCTACCACCACCACTTGTTACAATGCCTGCCACCACCACTTGGGTTACAATGCCTCACCACCACTTGATTACAATGCCTGCCACCACCACTTGATTACAATGCCTGCCACCACCACTTGGTTACAATCCGCCAGCACTGCACTTGCATTAATCACAATCATTACAGGATAACTATATGATTAGACAGTGTTCCACGATTCTCATCAGTCACTTTATATAAACTAAAAGTAGAAATTGGTACTGTGCGTCCGGAAGGTACCCTTGTTTGCAATGGCCGACCTCCCGAATGTTAGGTATGTGTAAAAATAGTTAGAAACGGCATGTTTACAATGTTCAATTTTAACAATGCCGGAACGACGAAATATACCAATGCTTCAATTATCTGGGATCAAATATGCCCCAATCCCCACATGTTAGCAAGTGAATACAGCAGCATACAAGGTAGTATGAGCATTACTATGAGGAAACCCATAGCAACTCATATATAAATTACCTATAATGTCAGAAAAATGGGATACTGAATTTTAAACAACACTCTCTTTCCAAGTATCACTGAATTAGAGCAAATTTAGATGTTATACTGACAGAAGAGTCCAAAGGAACAAGGGCATACCCGGTTATTGCAAGAGCCAGAAACCTTCCTATTCTATGCAATCAAGCTAAGAACTACCTTAGAAACGTGACCAATAGAGGTAACTCACATACCACTGAACAGAATGAGTGAAATTATAAAAACAGTTGAGTCGGTTCAGAACCACTAAATGAAGCAAGGTAGAAATGCAGAAACATTTTTCACTCCAGCAAAGGCCAACAGACAAATAACTGACATACAAGTCTTGATTGAAACAGAATTGGATGAACAATCCACCACTGAGCCTGACCACATTCATGAATGTCTATTTATTAAGAAGTGCAAAGTACCACTAGTACGAGAAAGAACTGAGATCTAGGTGAAATATCGGAGGCCTTAAAGAGTGCAAACATAGCTTCTTTACGTAAGAGAGGTAGTAGAGCACTAGCTAAAATTACAGACCAGT